ACGCACTCTTTCTATACACTATCACTGGTTATGTATTTTTGAACTGTTGGACTCCAGCATAGGGAAATATTGTCTCTGGGTGTCTATATTTGCCTCTGTGCAGGAGCTTCCTGTGACAAAGACAGGTCACTGCTCTCTCTGTGTGCAGGGTGACTGGTCTGGTCTCCGCCTCCTCTTGTAATAAATACCGGTCACTGCTGTTCTCATTGTGCAGGGTGACTGGTCTTGTCTCCGCCCACTCCTTTAGTGTTCTGCAGCCAGACTGTAGTGGGTGGGGCTTGCTGGGTGGGTGGGGCTTTTTGTGCAGCACTGTGATGATGTCACTGCCACTTTTACATAATTTGGGTTTTTCAAGGCGTTTGGTGTATACAAACTGGATTTATTTTCTCTGTGGCTCCTGAGGAATATATTTCATTGCATGTTTTTGTGCATGGAGTTTGACATGCACAAGCATGGAGAGTGAATTCCAGGAAAGAAAATGAATGGTGGCATCTAGTGGTGGAGAAGTACTGCGGGCGACAACTCCAGGTTGAAGTGGAGTACTGCAATAATAGCTTCTGACAGCATACAGCACAAGGGGTGAAGCATAAGCCTTACTGTCCTATCACATATAGATGGTGCATACACCCTGGAGGCCGTATCGGAAATATTATAGGTGGGAGACCAGCCAGCTATTGCCTTTCTCTTCACAAATACATTACCGTGGCGTGCTGTGCCAGGTGCATCAATATGCCCAGTGTGTGTATCAGTCTTCCAAGGATGAGATGGTCTTCACCCAGAAGGTTAAAGGTGATAACAGGCCTATAGATTATGATGAGGGAAGAGAGTTTACATTAATATTCTAATCTTATCCGATGAACAGGAAAAAGGAGAATGAAAACATGGCAGTCTTTTAGGGTGTCACATGAAACAAGTCACATCTAGAGCAACCCACCATCATCCCTCCACTGCTCCCAATGCAAAGTAAATAATGAATGGCCATTCTTTTCTTTTATGGATATGTTTGCATTTATTACTTTTTGTAAAAATGGACTCTGGATGTAATTTTATTTGATCAAGCTAAGGACGGGTAGGCTGAAATCTATGACATTGTTGCTCTTGGGGGCTTAGATATACTTTAAAAGCAACACAATTGCCAAGTGTATGACCAGCAAAACAAGATTCCCCTTCTATGTTACATCCAACACTGACATTTCACTAAGTGAGAAGTGATCACAATTATATAACAACATATTCAGTAGGCTGATCCATCGGAGTAAATCTATACGCTATATTCACCTGTCAAAGTTCTGGATGAGAGGGAAGAAAAAGTATCCAGCGACAGCATGATATCTGTTCGGGGTTGGAGCAGGGGTGTCTCTTGTCTGACCCTGCAGACAGTAGAACAAATGTCAGTTGTGTCATGTGTAGGGTACACTTTGCCCTAAGTGTTGTGATTCTATTTCGGGCACATACCTTAGCAAAGCGCCTGGTCTTGCTCGCAATCCTCTCCTCCACAACTTTCCTCCAATCAACTGGTGCCTCACACCGATAGGTCCCTACAGAGTGACTAGATGAATGGGGATCTCCAGTCTTTGCTTCAGAGGCTACCGGTTTTATGACGGCTGTCGTATCGGAAAGTTCCTGAGCAGCTGATGCCAAAACCTGCCAAAAAACAGGAGAATCTGAAGATACAGAGGAAACCCACACTGACCAGAAGACAGGGCTCAGCTCACTGTTGCAGTAATACAGACAGTTCTTATTTCACAATCTGGCACAAGGTTGTTGTGTGTACACCATCATGTGCAGAATCTTACTGCCTCTATACAGCAGACTAGGGATGCACCAATACCAGCATTGATATTGGTGCCAATACCGGAAATTCCGGTATCAGAAAGCTGGGCTCATCCCCCGACATCCTGATTGGCCGGTAGGCCAGCTCCATGCTCCCTTCTCACTTGGTGACGAGGGAGCCTGGAGCCAGGCTTTCTGGCCAATCAGGAAGCCGGGCGGCATGTAATGACTCGCCGCCCAGCTTCCCGATTGGTTGGAGAGCTGGCCAGTCAGGAAGCAGGGCGGCGAATCATTACCCACCACCCAGCTTCCTCATTGACCAGAAAGCTGGCTCCATGCTTCCTCGTCACCTGGTGATTTTCCAGAGACTTTCTCAGTTTGCTTTACCCTGGTTAATGTTTCAGTAACTGAACGGATCATGTATAATGTACTGTATACAGCTATCTAAAATGTACCTACTTATAGGTCTATCTTATATAACCAACCCCAGCCCAAACACCCATATACCCGATCCCATTAGCTTCTACTTATTTGTTGCCTTCCTTGGTTTCTCCTTTTCCCCTCATCAACGTGCTAAAAGTTTTTAAATAAAGCCTTTTCAGATCATTCAGATCTAAGCAATGTAGGCAGGTTGTGGCTGGTGGGAGGGGCATAGCTTCCAGAAACCATCACAGCAACTTGCCTCAGTACTCTTCCCAAAGCCCTCAGCCCTGATATAAGCAGTGAGCTGGCTCTTGGGAGGAGTAATGCAAATATCAAAATGCCTTGATGAGTAGATGTCAGTCTGGAGGAGTGGGCGTTCCTAGGCAGGCTGTATTCGCATGCAGATCACTCTAGGTAATTCCCACATGTGATGCTGAGCCCCCGTGATCAAAAGAACTGAAATCCAATGAATGGAAGGAGGGGGCCAGGGGCAGTAAAGCTGGTGAAGAAAGGGCTAGATGATGCAGTTTCAGTAAAGGAGAGGAGCCCATAAGACGGAAGGTAAGGCTGGAGTTCGGCTTTAAAGGAAAAACAATTGCACTGTAAAGTGTTGAAAATAAATGGAGTCTATCTACACCCTGCTACAACAAATTAGGATGTTGGTCGATTCTCCAAAATCATTCATTGATTACAGTACAAGCACTGTGCAAGCAAACGAACTCCATGCTGGAATGATGCATTTGATAGCCAACGCAAAACTCAATGATGTGATACTGAGGCATACGTACATCCAATATATCCATCCTCTGTCGCAGGCTGTAGTTTAAGGAGTAGAATTCCCCAGTAAGATACTGCGACACCTATTAAGAGAGAAATGTTCAAACTACATCCACATAGAGCTGCACACAGAACAACCCACATTCAATCTCTCCATGTAAGCTTGTAGATTTCACTCCACTTTAGTGGAAATACAGAGCCCTGGGTGGTTAGAAAGTCTTACCGGCACAGGATCAGTAACGGTGACGGCAACCATAGCGGCAAACCTCAGCTGTGTAAAATTTTCTACTCCGGGACGGTCATCAAGATGTAAGAGAATTTTGGCGAGTTCTGTACTGACCTGCGTGAGAGGACAATGAACACAGTTAGCGGTTTGCTGCAAAATAGACTCCTTCTGCAAGGCAAAGAATCCAGCCCCTCCCCTGTCACGGCAAAGAGCCGTGACAGGATCGAGAGGTGAGCGAGCGCTGGTATGTGTTCGCTCACCTCCCGATCTATTGAGCCGACCTTTGACAGTCTCATTGTCACACGTCGGCTAGAACTATGATGTGAGTGAAAAGCACTCCCCTCATAGTTCTCCTTTAATGCTGCACAAGTAAGTTGAAGTGCTAAAAGCTGCATGACTTATTTTCTTACAGGGTTATTCACGGAAGGGTGAAGAGTTAGGAGAAGGCTGGAGAAGTGAACAATCTAGGACAACATAGCTGAATTGGAGAATTTTTCCAGTTCAGCTATGTTCAGCTGTGTTCAGCTAGATTGTTCACTACTCCGGCCTTCTCCAAACTCTTCACCCTTTTGTGAATTACCCTGTTAGTAGTTAGGAAAGTGCACTGTTCTGCCTCAACCCAGCTCTTCCACCACCTAATACAGAAACCAGCATCCTTTACTGTCAAAGCTATACAGAGGCTCACATCAGAGAAGCCATTCCCTATGACAATGTCTTCTTCTTAAGAATGCAGGCAGAGCTGTGATTGGCCAGCCCCCTTTTTCTATGCTTCAGTTGTCATCTTATGTATGTCAGCACAAAGATTTTTTTTTTTAAAGTATTATTATTTTATATATATTTGTTTTTTTTTTAACTTTTTTAAATCCTGCAAGTACAGACATTGATCTGGTAATCTGCAAGAAAGCCTAACTCTCTGAGCCGATTTCTTATTGTCTTCACTGCACTAAAATTCTAAACAGTGTTCCCAGCTCTCCACGTGCATACACTGATTCATTTCCTGGGAAAATAATGCTGTTGCCTTGACTTGCAAGAGCACTCTCACACTATATGTAGAAAAAGGGCTTATGGGGGCTGTCAGTCTGGGGGCACGCTAATTTCAATAGGAACTGAACTTCTAGCAGCTGCCCCTGCAAGATTTTATAACAAGGCTGGGGATGATGGCACACTTTAATAAAAGCTCTTTTTTTGCTACAGAGACAAGGACAAATACAACATAACATTGGGGCATACTCTAGAAGGGGAGAGGGAGATTTGGGGATACATTTGGGTATACTAGACATACTTAATGCACGTAAGTAACCAATCTGATTTAATGAACGGAAGTATATAAAGGGAATTTACTGTTGTAATGTTGTACAGCATTACAGTGGCAGCGAGTTTGCTTCGGGGGTAAAAGATTGGACTGACAATGGGAGCTGAGTAGACACTGTGTGCAATCAGTTATATAGAAACCAGAAAATGGTATTATAAAGAACAAGCAGATATGGTAAAACAAATGATCCTGAATATACATAAAATGTAATATATCTATTTGCTCAGCCAGATTTAACACAGATAAAAGGTCATGAAGAACATGTTTATGGATTCCTTCGGAGTCGTCATTAGTACCTCTTTGGTGGCAGCAGAATTTGAGCGGATCAAGCTGGCCAGTGAAGACATTGTTACCTCCAGCTTCTCCACATCCTCTGAAAACAATACTACAGAGATAAAAGAGAAGACCAAGATAATCCTTATTCAAGAATGTGACTCATAACAGAGAGCTTTAGCCATAGCAATATTTATCAAATCCAAAAACTGGTATAAATGGAGGAACCGAATGGGTGTCCAACTCACCTTCCATGCAATCCCGAATATACGCCGGCGTTTTGTTCTTTTTCAGCTTGTTGAAAATAAATGGAGTCTATCTACACCCTGCTACAACAAATTAGGATGTTGGTCGATTCTCCAAAATCATTCATTGATTACAGTACAAGCACTGTGCAAGCAAACGAACTCCATGCTGGAATGATGCATTTGATAGCCAACGCAAAACTCAATGATGTGATACTGAGGCATACGTACATCCAATATATCCATCCTCTGTCGCAGGCTGTAGTTTAAGGAGTAGAATTCCCCAGTAAGATACTGCGACACCTATTAAGAGAGAAATGTTCAAACTACATCCACATAGAGCTGCACACAGAACAACCCACATTCAATCTCTCCATGTAAGCTTGTAGATTTCACTCCACTTTAGTGGAAATACAGAGCCCTGGGTGGTTAGAAAGTCTTACCGGCACAGGATCAGTAACGGTGACGGCAACCATAGCGGCAAACCTCAGCTGTGTAAAATTTTCTACTCCGGGACGGTCATCAAGATGTAAGAGAATTTTGGCGAGTTCTGTACTGACCTGCGTGAGAGGACAATGAACACAGTTAGCGGTTTGCTGCAAAATAGACTCCTTCTGCAAGGCAAAGAATCCAGCCCCTCCCCTGTCACGGCAAAGAGCCGTGACAGGATCGAGAGGTGAGCGAGCGCTGGTATGTGTTCGCTCACCTCCCGATCTATTGAGCCGACCTTTGACAGTCTCATTGTCACACGTCGGCTAGAACTATGATGTGAGTGAAAAGCACTCCCCTCATAGTTCTCCTTTAATGCTGCACAAGTAAGTTGAAGTGCTAAAAGCTGCATGACTTATTTTCTTACAGGGTTATTCACGGAAGGGTGAAGAGTTAGGAGAAGGCTGGAGAAGTGAACAATCTAGGACAACATAGCTGAATTGGAGAATTTTTCCAGTTCAGCTATGTTCAGCTGTGTTCAGCTAGATTGTTCACTACTCCGGCCTTCTCCAAACTCTTCACCCTTTTGTGAATTACCCTGTTAGTAGTTAGGAAAGTGCACTGTTCTGCCTCAACCCAGCTCTTCCACCACCTAATACAGAAACCAGCATCCTTTACTGTCAAAGCTATACAGAGGCTCACATCAGAGAAGCCATTCCCTATGACAATGTCTTCTTCTTAAGAATGCAGGCAGAGCTGTGATTGGCCAGCCCCCTTTTTCTATGCTTCAGTTGTCATCTTATGTATGTCAGCACAAAGATTTTTTTTTTTAAAGTATTATTATTTTATATATATTTGTTTTTTTTTTAACTTTTTTAAATCCTGCAAGTACAGACATTGATCTGGTAATCTGCAAGAAAGCCTAACTCTCTGAGCCGATTTCTTATTGTCTTCACTGCACTAAAATTCTAAACAGTGTTCCCAGCTCTCCACGTGCATACACTGATTCATTTCCTGGGAAAATAATGCTGTTGCCTTGACTTGCAAGAGCACTCTCACACTATATGTAGAAAAAGGGCTTATGGGGGCTGTCAGTCTGGGGGCACGCTAATTTCAATAGGAACTGAACTTCTAGCAGCTGCCCCTGCAAGATTTTATAACAAGGCTGGGGATGATGGCACACTTTAATAAAAGCTCTTTTTTTGCTACAGAGACAAGGACAAATACAACATAACATTGGGGCATACTCTAGAAGGGGAGAGGGAGATTTGGGGATACATTTGGGTATACTAGACATACTTAATGCACGTAAGTAACCAATCTGATTTAATGAACGGAAGTATATAAAGGGAATTTACTGTTGTAATGTTGTACAGCATTACAGTGGCAGCGAGTTTGCTTCGGGGGTAAAAGATTGGACTGACAATGGGAGCTGAGTAGACACTGTGTGCAATCAGTTATATAGAAACCAGAAAATGGTATTATAAAGAACAAGCAGATATGGTAAAACAAATGATCCTGAATATACATAAAATGTAATATATCTATTTGCTCAGCCAGATTTAACACAGATAAAAGGTCATGAAGAACATGTTTATGGATTCCTTCGGAGTCGTCATTAGTACCTCTTTGGTGGCAGCAGAATTTGAGCGGATCAAGCTGGCCAGTGAAGACATTGTTACCTCCAGCTTCTCCACATCCTCTGAAAACAATACTACAGAGATAAAAGAGAAGACCAAGATAATCCTTATTCAAGAATGTGACTCATAACAGAGAGCTTTAGCCATAGCAATATTTATCAAATCCAAAAACTGGTATAAATGGAGGAACCGAATGGGTGTCCAACTCACCTTCCATGCAATCCCGAATATACGCCGGCGTTTTGTTCTTTTTCAGCTCAGTGTCTGCACTCATATCATAGGGAGTCAGGTCATCATCGCTGTTGCAGAGATTTTAGTAAAGCATTGGCAAAAAAATAAAATAAACTGGTTATGATAAAAGTACGGGACCTGGGTGCTCTGCAAAGAGGAAGATATCTGCTTCCCAGAAGAGAAGTCACTATCATAACACTACAGGTTTGCTTCAAAGATACCCAGTCACCTTACTCATTCAAGTCAATGGGTAAGGCAGGGTGTCTTTAAAGGCCTAATTTATTCAGACTGACTTTTACTGCCACTGCAAAATTCAAGGTTTGGGGGCATGTAGAAGAGGAGCTGCAGGGAAACAGGTTTAGGCCTCTTCTAAGGCTGATGGTGGGCTCAGAACTAGCATTGCACCTCCTACAATAAATGGCGCAGGCAATGCCACTGCAATTTCACACCCTTCCTGAACCACAAATATAAACCCAACAAGCAAGTACCCTTCAATATAAAAATGATCTGACTGATTTCTACAAAACACAGGTTCTAATTGTTCTTATCAGCTGCTTCAATAGCAGATGGGCTTACAATGAAAGACTCACCTATCCAGTTCTGATTCTGACCCAGTATCGGTTTTGGGTTCTTCCTGGTGTTTCACTTCCTTCTTAGAGGCTGGGACTGCAGAACTAGAAGGACAACATACCATGCATTACAAAGTTCTATATAACAAGAGACACACACAGTCTGAAGCATCCTTTAAATCTACTGACCTCGCAGATGAAGTCTTCACAGGATCTGGAGGGTCTGACGGACAGATACATGGAGGGGTTAGTAGTGACTTCAAATCTCTGATGTCATCGTCCGCCTCATACTGCAGAATGTTTGTGTACGTTAGATGGGCTGCCACACTTAACCTTTAAAGCCCAACTCCCAGAAGAAGATGGAGGTGCACACAATGAGAAAGAACCTTGTCCAATGACTAGACCATAGGACCTACCTGAAAAGAAAGACTGGGACCTTCAGGATCGATTTGTCGGCTCAGGCACTCCGCGACTACCATTCCCAAACACCTGACTGGAGGAAGAGAACTGTCCAGGTATAGACGAGTGCCAGAGGTCAGAGCATGCAGAAGCTCTGTGCATGAGAGACAAGACAGGAGTTGGTAGAAGGGGAAAAAAAAGAAACATGTTGTTACAGGAATACTACTACCATGCCGTACAGCCTCCTACCTTGTTTGCAACCCTCCAGTTCCTGTTTGTTCAGAAGACTTATGCAGATGAAGATACAACGACTGAGATGCAGCATTTGGGGGTAAGGCGAGTGTTTTACCATGCTACCCGATGACCAAACTTCCAGAAGCTCCCCGAAAACCTGTCAGAAGAACACACAGTCATTTACATTCTACCTCACCACCACTCATCACAGTCCTGATCAGGTCTATACACTACTTCTCCACTCATATCACAGTCCTTAATATCTGGTCTATATACTACCTCTCCACTCATATCACAGTCCTTAATATCTGCTCTATATACTACCTCCCCACCCATATCACCATCCTGATTATCTGGTCTATATACTACCTCCCCACTCATATCACAGTCCTTAATATCTGCTCTATATACTACCTCCCCACTCATATCACCATCCTGATTATCTGGTCTATATACTACCTCCCCACTCATATCACAGTCCTTAATATC